TGGATGGGAAGAGAGAAAGGGAATGAATTTGAGATGAAGTTTCAGCCCAGATGAGTGGTTATTACCTTTAATTTCCTGGTCTCTGTGGCCTTGTCAGTAATGTTTTGCCAGGCTGGTTGCTTTTAAATACATATATCGGAGCTGACAGAAGAGGCAGCAACATCTCAGCAGTGTATTATTTACCCAGGAGTATATACTATAAACTGTAATAGAAATATATCATTACGTGTACATTAAAGTGCAATTTGTTTTGATGCTCCTGTAGTTCTCTTGCAAATAATACTTATCAGTTGGAGGAGGAATGAGATCCATCTGAGCTTAGACACATTGCGGTGACTTCTGAGGAAGTCGGACTGTTCTCACCAGGAAATGCTGACCCTCAGGCTGGACAGTCGTCCGCAAAGTTCATTTTTGTCAGCTAGCTTTGGCTCTCTGTTTTGCATGACACCTGAACGGTGCCTGGTGCTGTGACTTACTTAAGCATCTAAAAATGGTGTTGGAAATGCTGTGTGGAGACCGAGAACAGAGACCCTGTGCTCCGCTGCTGTTTTGCTCCAGAGGACCACGCTGCCACTGGGACTAGATCAAGTTTAGCCAAGCCCCAAGACACCTTTGTGCAGAGCCTTTCTTCATTCTTGGCCCTCGCGTAAAGTGTCTTGTAACAGCCAACATGGAGATTAGGAGAAAGAAACAGTCAATTTTTAAGCAGGACTCAAGGCATGAGTTATGAGTTTCTATCAGGCATTAGCTTGAGTTGGGGGTGGGCATGTTTCAGTGGTTGTAAGTAGGTTGTTGTGTTTACAGACACAAAGTCCTTTTATATTATTATCCAGCCCATGGGTACATAATCACCTACTACTACAGAGTGGCTGGTGGTAAAAACAAGCGGCACAGGATGAGCTGGGAGTGAGATACCTGTCACACAGCATCGTTGTGCCCATGCGTATAGTCCGGGAGTTTTACTCAAGGTTTAGCCTTCTGCAGTATAGGTGATATTGCTGTGCTACTAATGGGCACAAAGAAGCAGGAATTAGTGCAGAGGTATCCGGAGGTGGTCTTCAGCGTGCCTTCATGCAGCTGCTTTTCCCTGCTAGCTGGCAGCTGGGGCTGTATTGTCCCTTGGAAGAGAAAAGCTGTTTCTGTTGAGCTGAAAACATCAGCAGTGGTAAGTGGTACTTGGAGGATGCCAGATTGGGGTGGGAGCATGAAGAAGTCGGATTTGGCTGTTTAGTGGCCTAAGTAAATGGGATGAGAGTTGGCAGTGTCTAATTCAGAAAAGTGCACACCACCGTTAGAGTAAATGGCCTCCTAATCAGGAGGTGTGCTACAGTGTGATTACGCAGCAGATCACGTCTGGAAACTCAATGGCCAAATGTTTAAAGGCATTAGAGGCACGTAAGGATATAGAGGGGCACCAAGTGGCATTTTCAGAAGTGACTCTCATTACTTAAATTGCAATAAAATCCATGGGAATCAGACAGTGAAGTACTTCTTAATGCGTCCCTGAGAAAACTCTGCAAGGTGCCTGTTTTTATTAATAGGTGCCCACGTGCCTCTTAAAAACCTGGCTGTCAGAGACGTCCCCTCCCAGGTAGGGCTTAGCAACGGTGCGTAGCAGAGGTGGAAGGATTAAGACGCAAATGCTGCAGTGTTCAGGCCCTCCCTGTGTAATGCCTGTGTGTGGCTGTATTTGCATGCCTGGTGCCACAGAAAGGTAGATCACGCAGGGACGTGCCATCAGAAAGGGAGGATGTGGCACACAGACCTCCCAAAAGGTATCAAAGCAGAGAACAAAAAAATCGGAGCATCATCTCGGATTCTCGTTCCCCTGAGCAGATGAAGAGGAAAGGAGGACATGCTTAGTACTTTGTTCCTCAGATCACAATGGCAAAAGTACAACCTGGCTCCAGGGCTGAATAAAGAAGGAAAACAAACTAAGGCCTGCTACCAGCTGTGATGGAGAAAGGCCTGCTGTGTTCTTTGGGAGGATTATTAGTGTTATCAGTAGCTGGGGAGACCCACATAAAATTGTAGGAATGGAAAGTGGAAAGGTAAACTTCCAATAAAGGTAATCAAAAGTATGAAGAAATAGATTATTCTTTCACAAAACTCAGTCTCTTCAAAATCTTATCGCAAATATTATCTTGCAAAGTAATCTAGCAATATTGTATCTTATAATACGAGCTAATTAGCGATACATAAGAGAGAGAACAGGACCTTGAAAGAGGGGGCTTAGAAAGCCTTCACCAACTGTGTCAGGGACTGTAGTTTAAATGCAAAGCTAGTGAACATTCAGATGCATAGTAGCAATCAGGCAGCCACCAAGAGAATTCATCAAGGAGCACAGAGGCGGATGAAACTGCAGAGCAGAAGACTTGTGTGAAAGTAAATGCCAAGATGTGAACAGAGGAGCTGAATTCAATGCAGTGGAAAGCCAGCGGGTCCTGTGGAGTGAAACCTGATGATGAAAAGTGGGGTCATAGGCAGACTGGCAAGTACACCATCGTGTCAAAGCCTGCAGGGGAGACCAGCTAAAGAAAAACTGGAGCACAATCAGGAAGCAAGTACCGATTTAGAGTTTGGATGCATATGATACTAGGCTGTGCAAAGTGGCGAAACAACAAAGTGGCAAAAATGAACAGTTTGTAGGGTCCAGGCTGGCACCAGATGCAGCAATATTACAGTAACAGGCCCTTAGGCAAGAAACTGAACGTCAGGTGGATAGAGAACATACAGGACAATGGAGATTTCTTTGGGATTATTCAAGGGAGGAAAGCAACGTTGTCATCTAGCAACACTGAATGGCAATTACATGATGTCTTAATCTTAAAGACTGTATGTTAGCACAAATGTAATAGCGCATAGAAAGTACTTGGCTCACGCTCCCAGTAATATAGAAGATGCAGAAGCCACCACTGTCAGTGCAAACAGGCAAATAGATGATGCTTAGACAGCTATGCTGCTCTCCGGACTTGAGCTCATCTCTCTGCAGTCAGGCTGGCTTAGCCCAGGGTGCCTGCAGTGGGCACTCCGGGCTGGGACAGCAGCACCTCTGCAAACTCTGCCTTCGCTGAAGTGTGCAGAGAGAGGATCGTAGGAGCTAAGGAAGGGGTAGCACGTGTCTTACACTGCTGTGACCTCTTCTGCCTTTACGGTTGCACCCTGAGGCTGTTCACTCAGCTCTGTTTTTTCATGAGGTAAAAACAAAGTGTTTTGTCCTACCAGAAGAGGGTGGGGACCGATCTGTTTTCTGTTTTCTTGGAGGCAGTTTCTCTAGCTCAGAGCAGGCGTATGCTGGTGGCACAACATGAAGACGTTTGAACCAGCTGATTTCTCACTTACCTCTTGAGTGAGGCAGCTGCCAGGTCTCTCTGCCCAGCATCTTCCGCAATCCCTTACCCCATTAACCAGCTCAAAATAACAAATGAGGGATCATTGTCCAACTATCCCTACATTTTTGGGTGGGTTGGGTTTTTTTTCTGTAAGTTGATATTATCTCACTGATGTGACAGGCAGGATTAATAAAGCCTTAGTCACAGAACTGGAAAGAACACTTACTTTTACACGTAGGACTAAGAGCTGCCTGGAACCTTCCTTGTTTGAGCAAGCAGCCAGAAAGTGAGGGGAAATAATGAGAAAAAGGAGATGTACTTGTCACTACAACTTCATGACTGAGCGTAGATGTTGGTGAGAGAGGAGACAGCTTGCTGCTTGTTGCCAAAAGCTATGGAATCACAGAGCAGTGTTAATATACAGCAAAGCAATATAGATTAGCAATGCAATATCAAGCCGTCACACTGTAATAATTATGTGGGCTTCTTTGGAATGAGGTGACCTTGAAATCCATTAATTAAGTAGCAATATGCATCTTGGTTTAATTCAGTGTCATTTTAACATGCAAAAAAATGTCCCTATGTTTCTGTTCCCAAAATAAATCAATATTTACTGTTCGTTAGATAGCATTTGGAAACAGAAAAGTTGCACTGGAGGTCTGTGAACTGCTCAGAATCTTTGTTGTATGTAATGGGCTCTGTCTGAACCTGCAATTTCTGCATAAACTTTGGATCCGACTTTGTAGAGCCATTCTGCATATGGATGCGCATGCAGCATTTGGTTAGACTTACTAAAAAAGTCTTTTGCTCAGGTAAACCATTACAAGTCCCATCAGCCCAGCTCTGCCCTGTCTTCGCAGCAAAGATCTGTTGCTACAGGCCTTCGCATTACTTCAGGAGAAGTTTCCAGTCAGGATTCATTTTTGACATAGATGAATGGGGACTTTGGTGAGACAACTCAGAAGAGTTTGCCCTACATACTTTTGCTGAGCATTAAGCTTTGAAAAATGAATGATTACATTTAGAATTGCCTTTCAACATTAATAGCTGGAAAAGATCTGCCCCGTTCTCTATATGAGAATGGGGATTTATTTGCTGTGGTAAAAGTGGAGTGGACTCCTACTTTCTCCATTCAGAGGTACTCCTGTTTTGGGTTGTGTTGTCACCTTTTTCTTAAGGAGAAGAATATTCCTGACGATAAAAACAGTATACAGAGATGAGACTGCATTTTGGAAATTGAATAGTATCTTCTCCTCCATAGATCCATAACCATTAACCAAAAGAGTACAAATTAAAAACCAAGCTTTTGAGGGGAAAAGGTTACCTTTACCAAAAAAGGTACTATTGCAGAGATGTACACGTTGAGCTGATTTTACAAAGCAGTCAAGTAGTCTTGCATTCTAAAACTTTTAAGATCTGCACACAAGGTACAACTAAATTTTTCTGACAGGTACATGGAAATGCTGTTAATAACCTAATATGCCTTGTGGCAGAAATGCATTTTTGGAATGTGTAAGGCTAAAAGATGTCTTTTTTAATGCAGTATCATGAAGTTAGAAAGTCTGGGAATTGATAAAAGTGATTTTTTGCTCTGTGCCTTCACCCCATGCCATTTTAGGAAACTGTGGGCTTCATCTTAATCCTTGTATGTTCTTTGTGTATTTTCAGGATTCGTCTTCGGTTGGAACAGCCACGGTGGCTGGTCCCAGGACAAGTGCAATAATTGGAGATCAGGGAACACCACCGAAGGTCCAGCTCCCCCTCAATATGTAAGCAGCTCATCTCAGTCACTGCATACTCTTTGTTTCCAATCGTGTGCGCATGTGTGCATGTGTTTGAAATCTGAAAGCCTGAATCTCAGCTCAGGAGCATTCTGAGAAGGGAAAGATTGCAATTTCTTACATGACCCAGCCTCTGCTGAAATTGAAAAATGAGTATACAAAGGCAAGACTTCCCCTTTTTTCTGTGAGCCTTTTTAGACTCCTGGTGTATTTATTACAGCTGTATGAATCACTGTGAAGCAAATGGAATGCCTCTCAGCTAGAGAAAATCTTCTTCCTTCATTTAAAGCTCTTAAAAAGGTGTAGTCCCATGCAATCAAACACCTGATACATTCATCATTAACCAGAAAAATGACCCAATTGCATTTTTTCAGTGCCATAAACAAAGGCAACGAATAAATTTCTAAAGTGCAAGGGCATCATGGGCATATGAGCTTATTGAATAGTGTGTGGAATAACAGAAGGTTGACTAGATACAGAACAAAAAGGGTAGACTTCATAATAATAAATCTCTTCTACCCTGGTTTGGTTTATCTGGTACCTGTCTAGTTAAACTACTGAACCCTTTCCTCTCATCACATATACTTTGTGAAAGCAGTAGAACTATATAGACACACACACATATGCACACCAGTATTTTAGTGGTTTATGATATGGCTAAAACAAGGTCTGAATTCACAAACAAAATCCTAAAATAATGTAGCAAATCTGCTTTAAGGAGAATAGGAGAGTTGGAACAGAACCAAAACAAATTTGTTCTTGGCTACTAAGGTGAGATCTTCATACCTGAGGGGTACCACACATCACTCACTGCCCCACAGAGAGATCTCACCATCACCCTGTGGTCACCCTGTGCAGCCTGTGTGGCACATAGTGGGGCAAAAATTTATTTCAAACGTTGCTCAAAGTAGGAAGCAGTAACTGGCAGTATTTCCAGTATTTAGTTACTGAATCAGGACATTTTACAGCTCTCTGGCAATGCCCCTGCCTCCGTGCCTCAGCAAGCCTTCCCTTCTCCCTCCTATGCTTCTCCTGTCGTCTCCCCGTGAAGCAGCCTTGTAATCCAGTCTGTCATTTTGCATGTGTGAGCCAAGTTCCAGTCAAAGAGGAAGTTTTATCTGAAAGCTGTAGCAGAGCTGGGGAGGTACAACCCTAGACAGAGCCCTGGGGCTTCTGCGTTACAAGTAGAGTCACTGGCAGCTCCCCGAGGCCAAGAACATGAGCTACCTTCTCGCTCAGGACTTTTTTTAGGGAACTCTTGATAAAGATTTTGGCTCCCTGACCCTTAGCCTTACTGTTCCACGTAGCCCAGAACTACTTGCTATTCCATTTTGCGAGATTTCAGATTGTTGTTTTAACACTTTCTTCTCGGTTGTAGTTTGCTGGTGAAGTTTCACATCTAAAATCTAGGGAACGGTGAAACGTGTCTAAGTCCAAAGGCTTTGGCTTAAGGCAAAATCAGCCTCAGCAAAAGGGACCACTAGCCCTGATCCCCTGCCAGAGGAAAAGCCCAGAAACGCTTTCTGGGGAGGGAAGCTGCCTGCACTCAAATTGTTTTCAGCCGTGTATGAGAGCAGGCATCCCGTCAGCTCTCCCACAGCTCCCTCTCTGCCAGCACATGGGGTGTATGCCTGTGCCCATGGGGCGGGCATGCCAGCCACGGCCAGGCAGCGGACCCAGGCTGGGCCTGTCGCTGGGTTTGGAGAAGCCACTGCCTCTTTGCGGACTAATAGAGGAAAACCCCAGCGGTGGGCATCCTCACTGCCCCACATAGGTGGTGGGATCACCGGTCCATGAAGAAAGCGCTGATCACCTCCGTTGTCCCAGGGTCACGCTATGTGGTTATCACATACAAGTTTTCATCAGCTTAGCAATACAGAGATTGGTCAGTTTTGGCATGGAGTCCAGACTGGGCTGTTGTACACCTTCTTTTAGTCTCTGCAAGGATTTTGATACTCTCTCCGGAGGATGTTTAGGCTCATTATGATATTGGTTATTCAGGCTTACGGGAGGCTGAGTTGGGGAAATTTGCAGGAACAGAAAGAAACTAGTAGGAGAGCTGGAGACAGCTGCAAGGGAAAGAAGCCTATGATCCACTTAGGGTAATTTTCCTTGCACCTTCTTCCAGCATCTCAACCTGTAAATTACATTATTACATGTAGCCCCTTGGGGAAAGGGCTAAGTAAGTCTATCTAAAATGCTCTGTCCTTGACCCCCGCTTTACCCCTACCTTCTGAATATGAGCCCTGTGTAAGCAGCAACTTAAAAAGAGGTAATCAAAGCTACACTTTCTGCTCCCTCGAGTGAGTGCAGTCTTGGCACTTTCCGTTATGTCCTAGCAAAGTACTGTGCTGAAGGATTAGCACTGAAGGATGCAACCTTATTTCATGTCAGGGTGATGCATTTTAATGTTCTTCAGTTCATATGTAGCCTCATGTTTTCCATCAGGTGAACAGCTACAGACCTGCTCGGGACCACCTGATTATATAGGCTAAACAAAGGATGTGCAGGATGGTTTCTCCCATCTGTTGGCTAATGAAATACAGTTTCTGATTAGATCTTTGTGCCCCATGCATGTGGTAAACAAAGCCAGGCACATCAGTCTAAGGATGCCCCAAGGAGCTGTTACCAAATATTTCATATTCTGCTCATTACTGCTGTTTATTTACTACCTTCAGAATAAAAATAAGGAAATCTACTGGTACCATAAAGGAGTAGAATCAGGAAAACTAACAGGATTTATTCCTCAATTATATTTCCTGGAGAGCAGAAGTAAAAAGCCATGTATCATTTTTATTGGCTGCAAGTCTACAATCACAATGGTTATAGTTTTCATTATTTCTCTGGTTCACTGCTATAAGGTGGGCAGCAAGCCTCTTCTCACTTGCCTCCAAGCCTAAGAGCATTGTGCTGCACTTTGTAGTGCAAATGCACTTTCTGTAAGTGTTTCCCCATTTGTCCTAATCTCTCTGCACTGTCTGTAAGGCACAAAGCCAAAAAAACTCAAGAAGGCACAGCCTTAATCAAGAATTACCAGAAATCCCTTTTTGCATTTGTAGAAAGGCAACAGTGCCAAAATAAAATTGGTATTTACAAATAAAGTGTTGTTCTGTGTGTGCATTTTTGTTACCCTGTCCTGACTTTCCATTATTCCCCAAAGTGCAAGTAATCATTGTTAATTTTCAACAATGATCTCTCTAAACAGAGAGAATACCTTTAAGGACTTTAAGTTGTAGTCATTTCACAACATTAGACATCCCTGAAGTAGTAACAGAAGAACAAAAGAGAGATAAAAAGAAAGATTCTAAACAAAGGGAATAAATAAAAGCTGTAATTAAATAAATAGAGTTCTACATATTGGGTCCTGGATTAAATATTTATTAGAATACTTGCATACAAAACATCCAAAGCCAAATTCTACCACTTCGCTTACTTAAGTGAAAATCCCTTTGCAGAATTTGGCCCTCTGTCACTTTTTGTGTTACCCACATAATACAAGAATTACCATACTGGATCAGAACAGTTTGGTGTGTTGTTTCTAAAACTGGCCAGCATAAATAGCATCAAGAAAGCTGCAAGAAAAGCTGCCTTTAACTTTTATAAAGTAGCCTACCCATAAGAAAAGTTTCTTCTGAAAATCCATAGTGGAAGCAGCTCCGACCCTGAAGCATATGAATATATACTTCATCCAGATGTTAGGCTTTGAAAAGCCTTCCCATTCAAGCCCTGGTTACTCTGGCTGTCTCTGTAATTGCCTTGTCCTTCTGCAACTGCTGCTAAATTCTTAACTTCAGTGCTGCTTTGTGGCAGTGTTTTGCTTTGGTTGTGCCCTGGGTGAGAAGTATGTCCTATTAATTTCTACATTACCCCCTGACTTTAATCTAATTAGTTGTTCCTGTATTAGCTTAGCATCCACTTGATCTTGTCTCTGCTGTTTCGTGTTTGGGGTGCTGTAATGGTGTCCCTTTTTAACCACCGTTTCTGAGCAGTGTTTCTGCTCACTTTCTGCTCTGCGGGGCTGGAGTCAAAGCGGGACAGGCGGTGGTTGACATCAGCTGTGTGCTTTCTTCTTGTGTGACCTCTCCCCACAGCTACCTAGCCCTGTACGCCTACAAGCCTCAGAAGAACGACGAGCTGGAGCTCCGCAAAGGTGAGATGTACAGGGTCATTGAGAAGTGCCAGGACGGCTGGTTCAAGGGGACGTCTCTGAGGAGTGGGATGTCTGGCGTCTTCCCAGGCAACTACGTGACACCTGTTTCAAGGTGAGGACCACTGGCCAAGGTGGATATGCCTGAGCTGGGGCTGAGAGGGATTCTGCGTCTGGAGGATGCTGAAAGCAACGTAGCTCTGCTTTTAAATCACATTCCCCTTCCAGAAATTTTCTGGTGGCTTTGCAGACTTGGGAAATGAAACTTGCTGGTTGTAGCATTGGAGTTATCCATGTTCTCAGAAGACTTCACTAGTTGTGTTAGATTTTACATTTACAACTTCTGACTCTACGAAGTCTGATGAGCCCAGGTTTTACTATTGTAAAGAATCTGTTGGCTAATTATTTTTTTATTGTTATAAAACTACTGGACATGTAATGGGGATAAACAAAATAAGGAATGCTTATGTCTCGCTTTTCAGTAGCTCCTCATGTAGATTTTGTTTTGCTTAAATCCAAGGGCTTGGATCATTTGGATCAAGACTAATGTTTGAACCATTAAAATTCAGAAGTGGTTTACAATCAGTAAATTGTCTGATTTTAGCTACCTCTGTCTCAGATGCAGAAGAGGAGAGAAGGAAAGAATAGCATGTCTGGGGAGGAATGCCATTTGTCAGAGTTCAGTATTGGACAACACCAAATCAAAGGGTGTTTCTGATCTAGAGCCCACTCTGCAAGCTGAGGAGAAAGTTCATCAGCGTGTCCTAGACTGTTTTGCCCCACATGCTCCTTGCAGGTGAACGTTGCTGTGTGTGCCCACATCTCCTTCAGAGCAACTGTGGGTTTGCAAATCACACTCACTCCTTCTCGTATGCTCTCAGTCTCTCCTCCCATGTGCACACAGTCTCCACCATCTTTCACTCCTCTCCAGAGAAAGGCACCTCACAACTCAGACGGTGTTGATCTTGAAAAATTGATCCAGGTTTGTTCCATCTTCAGTTTATGTCAAGTTTGTAATATGTGGACTGAGCAAGACCAAAAGTTAAGAGCAGATTAGAAGACGATAACTAAGCCCGCTGACAGTCCTAATATTGCATTTCAGTCCAAAAAACCCCATTAATTCATGGGGTCTTCACTGTTCATCAACCTAAACGTATTTACCTGATTTTATAGAGCCCCTTGGCTGCCTTCACTCCTTGCCTTTTCAGCTTTTAATTAGTAAAGAAGTTTGTGCTGAAGTGTTGGTGATCTGAATCAGCAAGACTTTATTAAATGCAGCATGTCACAGCTAGAACAAGACAGAGAGAAGTGCTAAAGGGCAAACGTGCTTTCCACAAAACCCGAAAGCAGCTTTATGATTATATTTATGATCCTGTGAGCTAATTAAGTTCCTGTGTAAATCACCCTCAGTGAGAACAGCAAGAAAAATCTGATAGCAACAAAATCTCCTATTTGCTGCACTTTCAACTTACTTTGTTCCCCTTTGACAACAAAGCAGAGGAATAGATTCATGTGTGGTTTTTTGCCACTCCCTACAAAACCCAAGAAAAAGAAGTTGCCCATGAATTTAATAACACTGAACTAGATTTATAAGCTGCCAAAGCACATGTGTGAGCAGAGCATGGTGGAAAAAGGACAAGACCCTTTAGATGGACAGACAGGCACAGGGCAGCAGAGAAAGTTTGCCACATCCAACATCTGTCCAGCTCTGTGGGAGTCACAGATAGTTTCTGTACCTGTCGGTGTGCGTGTTTGCCTGAACGCAGCTTTCAGTGGACTATTAGGTGTGCTTTTCTGGCAAACTCAATCTAGGGCAGATGGCCAAGCCAGCTCCAACTGAACCTTGCTGCTACCCTGCCAGCTCTTCACAGCAGATGACAGACAGTCAAGATTTCCATCTGGTGGGATTCCCAGCTTTCCCTACCTGGAGGCTGATGAAAAAAAATTCAAAGAAAAAAAAATCAGATTCATTTAGCAAAATGTAATCCAGGCAAACCTTGAACAATGAGATGAGTCAAGTCAATGACACCACAGTGGTGTTTTTCCTCCTGTGATTTTGTGGGGAGAGGGGTTTGGGCAGAGGGGATGGCTATCTTTTGCACTTTTGGTCCGTATCTTCCAGCCTGTGTTTCGGTCTCTTTCTATCAGAATTTCACTCTTTTGGCTCTTCCCATTTCCGCTCTTTTCTTAGGGTTGCTTCTTCTATCTTTCTTGTCCTCTGAATTGGGCCAGATTGTTCAGCATACTCCTTTTTTCTGCTCTTCTCCTCTCTGTGTTCCCACACAACAATTTTGGGGCCCCAGAAGTTCTCCCAGTCCCACCCCCCCCATAGGTTGGTCTTGTACCCTTTCTGTTATCCTCTCCTTCCTTACTAACCCCCTGCACTGTCTCATTTCCATTTCCTCCACCACACTTTGTTCTGCATCATATCCCCTCTGCTGTCCTTTCCTGGAGGAGGACCTTGGCACATGGAGCAGCCCAGGAGAGGAGAACAGCACAAAATGATCCCTCTGTTTCATGGCATCTACTGCTGGAGAAGGAAATTACTCAGGAACCTGAGTAAGAATCTCAGAAAAAGAGCTGCTGAGCAGCAGCTGAGTTTGTCCATTGGGGTCCTTCTGTCCTCCCCAGTGTCCTCCTGCCCTGGTCAGAGAGTTTCTAGCTCAGTGGTAAGAGGACCAAGACCTCCTCTAGGCTGAACTCATTGCATAGGAGAAAGAGCCTCGTTCCTTCCCTCTGAGGTCTCCCCAGCCACTCGGATGAAATACAAACTATGCATACAGTTTAAGTGAGCAGTGAAAGAGGGGTCAATTATTGTTTGGATTTCCTTTTCAGTAAGGTCAGCCGCATTCCCTTCCCTTTTGCACTTCCTTAGCAAGTCTAAGCTAGGGCTGGTTACATCGGTAGGGTAAGTGTTCAGCCAAGCCAAGCCAAGCCCTGCCAAGTCTGCTGCTTTTCAGTCCCCTTCAACAGCCACACACAGATTTGGTGTTATCCATCTTTTTTCTCCCTGTAGGGCGGATTTGGTCCTAAGAAAAGATCTCTGAGTCTGTTTTAATTTTCACTCCATTAGTGCCTGTAAAATAGCCGCTGGCACACAAAATGACATTGGGGAGATATCCATTTCTTCTGAATTTAGGTTTGTGATTTTACTAGAAACTGTTCTGACAGAAATGTAGCTTAAGAAAAAAAGTGATGAGAAAAATTATCTTTTTCATTTTTACCCTGCACTTCTTTCCATAGGATAAAGGGGTGAAAATATCCTCCAGCATGCTTACAACTGTGTCCTATAAAGATAAATATATTTATCTATATCTCGGTTTACTTTAACACCTGAGAGGGTATCATGTTGAACCCCCTAAGTAACTGGGTGTTCTTATCAGCATTGTGGCTGAGGATCGGGGTCTCTGCAGCATGCTTATGCTGTGCCTTATCTCTGTGCAGGGTGCCAGTGGGAGCTGGGCAGCCCAGGAACAGCGGAGCCGGGGGAGCTCCGGCAACGAAAGGAGCCCCAGGAGCCGGTCACACCAATGCCGCCACGGCTGTCAGACCGGTTGTTCCTATCACTGCGCCTCAGACGCATCCCCAGCTACAGGCGGCCTCTCCGCAGCTGAATAACTGCTTGAGGTATTCAGCTCAGCAGCCAGCCAGCCAGACCCGCAACGCCATGCAGATGGGTATGTGCACGCCTGCCAGTGCCTCTCGCCCTGCGTCGGCAGGATTGATGTTGTACCCCTCGAGTGCAAGCCTCTCGAATCTGCCTGTCCCTGCAGCTTGCTTTCTCCTTTTAGTCACAGCTCAGTCAATGTGGAATAGAGTATGTTTTATTTGCTTGTAATATTTATGGGCTTCTATTGATCTCTGGGAACCACGTTGTGTTTATCAGATTGTTCTGTTGCTACAGCTGAAATAGATTATAGTGTTTACAAATATTTATACAATTTATCTGAGTGAAAGCAAGCACCCTGCATACTGAGGAGATTAACAGTTCTGAGTCCGGTTGGCTCGCGGACGGAAAAATACTGCCCTTATCGCAGGACAAGTAATACAGGACTTAAAATTAAGAAGCATTTCATTGGGCTTCAGGGATGAAAGGTATTTATTAGGCAGAACGGGACCCGGTGTTAGTGATAAAGCAAAAGACCTGAAAAATACTGCCACCTTTTTGAAATGAGAATAAGAGCTTCTCACACCAGGGGGCCTCTGTTCTTTCTAGGTTCCCTTTCTGATGTAAAGCACAATTTTCTAGAGTACTATTTATTCCCCTTTCCCTGATGTTAAACAGCTCTGATGTTGAATAAAGTAAAAGTAAATCCTGTGGTGGAACTTTATAGCAAAATTTAAAACATTTTGTTTCTGGTATTTTATAGGGATGTGAGCCATTGTGTTTACAAAGGCAGATCAGTAAGGATTGTGACTGCTGAAAACTGAGGTCTTAGATACAAAACAAAGCAGACACAAATAAGAAATACACTGTGGTGTAAGTCATGGATTCATACCGTTTGAAGCCAGAAGGCACCATTATGACCATCTAATCTCACCTCCTACACAGTCCAGACCAAAGGGAAGAAAACATAATTAAATGTGTGAATCTGAATCTCGAACAGTGCAGACTCCTCTGCTCAACAAACAGTGGCAGGACTTTACACGGCATCCGTGTCACACTGGGGAGTAATCGATTTATCCTCTTTTTGTCTAGTTCAGAAAGTGCTGCTTTCCCCTCAAGTCACACCCTTCCAAAAGCCCTTCTGCTCCCACAGTGCAAAGGCAGAAATGTCCCCTCTTGGGCAAGGCTCTCAGGAAGCGTTGGGGTGCTCCTGGTGCCTCCTGTGCTCATGCCAACAGGCAGACGGACTCCCCTGAAACTGAGGTGACCGATCATTTTGCCCCATGCACCTGGCATGCCCCACACCTTCCTTCTACGGCACTGCTGTGCTACACCTTCAGCAGCCTCCCTGATTTAAGATTGCTCCTCCAGGTCACTCTGACATCTTAAAGTGCCAAGGAGTTGGCAGGCAGGGTGATCCAGGGACCACAGAGATGCTCCAAAACCTCCTAAGCAGGGTGTTCTCCAGCCCTTCCAGAAGGTTCATGAGATTGTTGTTTTAATTAAATAAACCTTTCCCAGGATAAATAAAGGAAATTTGTCATGATTATCAGTATTTTTTTCCATAATGGACGTCCTCACCAGTATCCTGTGTACCAGAGCTCCTCAAAAGGTCTCTTTAGTGCTGCAGGACAGGGCAATGCACACTGACTTTTGGAAGAGCTTTCCAAAAGAGGCAAGCTGGCACAGTATTCAAATCACGTTTCTGTTGGCTTGCAATATACATGAGTAACAAATCAATTTTGCACAAGGCCACTAATGTAGGAATACACCCAAAATGAAATATGAGTGGTGTAGAATAAAAATAGCCTTCAGTGAGCATTGCTAATTAATAGCATGTTTGATGCAGCACAGTCCAGATCCAGAGATCCCAGAGCAAAGGCATACATTGTAACAGTAAGCAGATGAAATTACAGAACAAAATGTGAGAGCTCTGCTCAGAGTTGATTTTTCTCAGGCCATTGATTTTACTGTTTCTCATGTTTTCTGTTTCCTTTGTGCCTGGAAACACTGAGTCCTATATGAAAGAAGTAATGTACCTAATATGATTATCAAATCAGTCTTCTGCATCCAGGTACATGCAGTGAAATTCCATTATTGTGCTTTTCCTCTAAATTTAGGAAAGCCGTTGCTTCCTATAACCAGTAGTTCAAAACCTTGACCCTGCAAGCTTAACCATCCCGGAAAAAGAGATTTCTGGCAGCAGTGGTTGCTCATCTGATTTTTCCAAATGGGAAAATCAGAAGGAGGGAATCACTTCAAGATAACCAGTGGTGCCCTGTCTGGCTCTCTGGAAAGGAACTGCACTTTCCAGTACACGTTCTTGGTAATCCAGGGAGGGGGAATAACAACTTTTAGGCCCTTCCTCATGCTACATGGTAAAATCACACAAAGTTCAAGACTGGTTAATGGTAGTTTGGTTGATTTGCTATGAGCAACATTAATGAAAAGAGATGTTACAGCATCAAGGAGTTACCGTGAGGGAGAATCATGTAAACTTTGGAGGTGCTAATCTGATGATCAGTGGCCCATCATGTTCAGTACTGCTTTGGATAATAGGACATAAGGCTGGGGGATGAAATTCCCTCCTGGCAGGAGTGCTCAGCTGGTTTAGTGAGTATGATTAATGGCACTCCTTATCGTTTCAGTCCCTGGTAATGGGTGCCGCTGTTAACCATAGAAACAGAAAATAGTGGTTTGAGTTGTTCTAGCATTGTTGTTTAGTTATAGATTGAGTGAACTCCAGCTGGTCCTGCATAAAAATGTATCCTTCAGATGAATTTGTAAGAAACACACAGATCAGAGTGGGTCGGAAATTTTCAAAAAAAATGCTTCTTGATCGAAGAAAAGCTGATTTTGGGACTCAAAGCTTTTTGTCAGGAATGGATGTAGTTCAACCAGACTTCAGCCATGAAGCTGTCCTGGCTCAGGTTGCAAAGGGAATAGACAGCTGTCCAGAGCTGTTCTCCACAGAGGAGAACAGCGCAGTGACCGGATCCTATGTTTTCACATCCCAGGTGAATGCCCTGACCAGAATAGAGGCTATTGTGGGGTGGGTGAGTACGTTGTGCTCAGAAAAATGTTCAAAGGTTCAAATTTTGCACTGAGGCGGAACTAAACCAGATTATGAAGCCTTGAAATCATTTGTGAAATGGGCATTTTCCAGCCAGTCCTACTATTGAATCGTTTAAGTGAGTGAATGTCTGAGTGCGGACTCAGCTTCTGGTCTGCACATACTTGAAGTGGAGCTGTATGTAGGTTACACCTAAGCAATCAACCAACCTGGAAGTCAAAGGCAACATCATTGTGGAAATGGACCTGGACCTTTGTCACACTTTTTGCAACATGAGGCATGCAACAGGCTCCCGAATCCCTGGAGAGCTGACCTCGGCAGTGTGTCGTGGTCACTGTTAAACAGACGAGCGCTAATTCCTGGTTCCTAGTGCTTGTAGGCTGGGTCTGCTCAGCAGGGGCAGCAAGACTAAAAAGCACTGCATATAAGGGACTTTGCTGGCAGTTACAAGGCTGAGCTCAGAAATCCTCTGGCGGATTTCTGCTTAATTTATCTTGTGCAGCACAGTGATGTGCTGTTGATCATTTTGTTGGGGCTGAAGCGAGAGATTTTCCCTTGTAATTGCAGTCTGCGAGGTCAGTGTGGATCATTTGGGCTAACCCTTTAGGTCCCATGTTGCGTTGCTCCAAAACCTATCAGGTTAGGAGGGGGTCCTGGAGGTTTGGAAAACAGCTCAGCTGGAACAAGATAAGGTATTTTAAAAACACAGTAGGCCTTTTATTTATTTCTAGGCATGGGCAGGGATGGCCAGGCCATTCCCCAGTCACATCATTAGGGAGGACCAGCCATTTTGGTGACTGCAGACAGGCCTTTCGCAGCCAGGAGGGGGATTTCTAGGATTTAGCTGAAAACACTTGCAGGCTGAGATATTCTGGGTTAAAGCTAAGAGCTTAGCTCTCCGTCAGGCCCTGGCACGTTGTGGCAGTGATAGCCACTGAAGGGCCAGGTCTGGCAGTGCATGGGGGGCTTAACCGTGCTCTGTACTCCCTCCGCAGCTCACCCCCCGGTGCCGGCCCCGGAGCGGCCCACTGCCACGGTCTCGCCCCTGCGAACGCCCAGCTCGCCCTCCCGCCTGCCAGCAGCAGCCATCCGGCCTC